AAAAGACGGATTTAATGCGACTTGACCGTTCACACAGCAGTCGCTTTCTGAAACATCGGATATGTATCGGATTCAGCACCACATACGAAAGTGACCCAGATCGGATTTGAAAATATCGGATTTGTGCCGTTCACACTGTCACACCATGATCGGATATGGGTCGCATAGGGTCAAAAAAATCGGATTTGATGCGCTTTCGCCTGCAGTGTGAACGTAGCCTAAAAGCTGCAGGACGGTAGCTCTCGAGGACCGGGATTGGGCACCCCTGAGCTACAGAGTAACATTCCAGTGAGATATAGAAACTTGTTTTTAGACAGTGAATCTTGGATCTGGGGAATTTTCACTTGTTCCATTGGCAGATTTTTCACTTATTTCAGGCAAAAATCTTGTATTAAGTGAAAAAAAATCTGCCAATGGAACAAGTGAAAGTTCTGCAGATCCAGGTCCTAGAAATGAGACAAATATACTTTTAAGATTTTGAGTTCTTGCAGTGTAAAAGGCAGATCGGGTATTGTCGTCACCCTGCATGTTTGTAAATGCGATAACTCGAGAACAAAGTTTCAAATTCATGCCGTGGGTGAAAACCTGAATGCAATAATTTCAGGAAAAAGGTGGATTTTCATGTTGATGCTATAGGTCGGGGGTTGGGAACTGCAGGCCTCGGGGGCCGGTGTCCTGCAGGTTTTAGATCTCACCGTGGGTCAACACACCTGAATCAAATGATTAGTTCATTACCAGGCCTCTGGAGAACTTCATGACATGTTGAGGAGGTCATTTAGCCGTTTAAATCAGCTGTGTTGATTGCCAGCATTTTTAAATCTTTACCTTAAATTGTTTTTATACACAATGCTGTTTGTTTGTTTTTTACTTCACTGCTAAAGATATTTGTGGTGATGCACTTCTCCTGTTAATGTCACAGATCTCTCAAGTTCCAACATGTCACGGCATTACATCAGTGTTTTCAATCAAAGTACTTAATATACACATTTTTTTATATATATATATATTATCCCTGCGTTCAGCACTTTGGCCGACACTTGATGTCTTTTAAATGTGCTATATAAATAAAGATAACTTGACATAATTACTCACCGGCCACTTTATTAGTTACACCTTACAAATATAAGGTTAGACCCACTTTTGCCTCCAGGGCTGCCTCAATTCTTCATGGCATATATTCGGTTAGGTGCTCAAAGCATTCACAGGAGATTTTGCTCCATACTGACATCATAGCATCACACAGTTGCTGCAGATTTGTCAGCTGCACATCCAAATTTCCCCTTCAACCACATCCCAAACGTGCTGCACTGGACTGTGAATGCTGCTGGAGTACAGCATTTTTCCATCGCTCTATTGTCCAGTTTTGGTGAGTGCATGTGAAACAGTTGACAGGTGTGGCACCTGGCGTGGTCTTCTGATGCTGTAGACCATCTGTGTTCCATCTTCAGGTGCTCTTCTGCATGCCTTGTATTCTGGGTTTCCTGTCAGTTTAAAATACTCTGTCTGTTCTCCTGACGTCTGACATCAACAAGATAACTACCTTGATAACTAATAGACACCTTACATATATCCAGACCTGTTGCATTAACCACTCATTCATCAGAAACATTAGATGAATGAGTGATGCACATAAAATCAAATTACTGCGTTTTATTTCTGTTCCTGGCACTGATTATTTCAGTGCTGACGCTGTCGTGAGGGAGTCGAGTGGCCATCGCAAATAGTTAAATGACAATAAAGGTTTTGACCAGCAGGGGGAGTTTTTCAGTCTGTTCAAACAACCTTTCAGTCACTCTAAGCAAACGTTTATGTTTGTGGTTGTTTTTGTAAAAGCCACAGAATTGATACCTAAAATGTCTTCGTCCTGCTTTTGTGTAAAAACGTCTATTATGACAGTTAACAGACTATTGTTTGCTTGGTTTGTTCTGTGAAGAGGTTTAAGCTTTATAAGCCTGGTTGATGCTCCTGAGGGAGAGTTCAAATTGCACTGTAGGATTAAGTGCTGGCTAGTAGACTAAGAGCCACGGGCTTGGCTTTGGCTGTAAGTTTGCTTTTGTATAGTTTTCTTCTTTTGTCATTCATACCACCAACCTGAGCTGCCTTGTTATCTGCGCCTGTAAATAAACCGAGTGAAGAATCAGAATCAGAATGAGAATACTTTATTGATCCCTGGGGGAAATTATTTTTTGTTACAGTGCTCCATTATAAACCAACATTAAGACAAGACAGACAATACACTAACTAAGAATAGTACCATACATACATACATACATACATACATACATACATACATGAGTCACTCATAAATAAATAGCTGAAAAAGAAACATGTGTAGTTGTAGCAGCAAACAGTGTGTTAAGTGGATGCGTTGTACAGGGAGCCACAGGCAGGAAAGACTTCCTGTGTCGTTCTGTGGTGCTTTTCGGTAATCTCAGTCTCTCACTGAACGAGCTCCTGTGACTGACCAGCATGTCATGGAGTGGGTGGGCGGTGTTATCCAACATTGTCTTTATTTTGGACAACATCCGCCTCTCCGACACCACCTTGAGGGAGTCCAGCTCCATCCCCACAACATTACTGGCCTTACGGATCAGTTTATCAAGTCTGTTGGCATCTGCGACCCTCAGCCTGCTCCCCCAGCATGCAGCAGCATAGAGGATCGCACTGGCCACAACAGACTCGTAGACAATCCTCAGCATTTTCCGGCAGATGTTGAAGGACCTCAGTCGCCTCAAAAAATAGAGACGACTCTGGCCCTTCCTGTAAAGTGCTGTGGTGTTTTTAGCCCAGTCCAGTTTATTGTCAATGTGAACTCCAAGGTATTTATAGTCCTCCACAGTGTCAACACTGACCCCCTGGATTGAAACAGGGCTCAAGTGTTTCCTGGTCTTCCTGAAGTCCACGATCAGTTCCTTGGTCTTTGCCACGTTGAGCTGCAGATGATTCTGCTCACACCACGTGACAAAGGAGTCGACAACAGCCCGGTAAGAGAAGTCCGGCTTCCAAGTGTTCTTTCTCCACTGAGGCCCTCTTACAATAACCATGTGACTTGAATTTAAATGTTTATTTTCACACGCATTTTATTGCTTTGCTATGTTGAAATTTTGGTTGTATTTAATCATAGAAAGTATGGCCATTATTAAGGTGGTGTGTGGTGAGGTAGTACTAACCCCTCAGAAGATTCATAATCCGGACAGTAAAAAAATGTATGGTGGGTCTAAATGTCAGTAGACGAAGTAATAAAGTATAAAGCTAATGGGGAAGTTAAGGTGATACAGAAGACCACAAAAAGCAAAATCTTATCTGTAATATTTAATGCTTCAAGGCTGTCATTTATCCTACATGTACTAATATTTTAATATCAATTACAACCACAGTGAACTAATGTAAAACAAAGGAGGCTGAGTAAGTTTTACAAGCACGTGAAATTTACTGTGTACTTTATTGTTAGCCTGATAACGGTTGTTGGCATCACCTCTGCACCTTTACGTCAGTAAAAGGTTATTTAATAGCTGTGTGAGTTTTTTTTCTTTCAGAAATGTTTACGTAATCTTTAAGATAAGATGTGCTTTTATATACAGTTTGAGTTTTAAAGCCTGTTCAAAAGGTTGCAGTGTGTGTGTGTTGTGGTGGGGAATCCAAAGGGGAAAGATGCATGCTAGATTTGATCTGTATGACAGGTTTTTGAAGAGCACTTGATAAGTCGAAACAATCCTTCTAGCCAATTTCTTCTTCTTTTGCCCCAACCATGAATAACAGTTCTCGTCTCATCTCATTTTACAAAATGTGGACAAAGAAGAAGAGAAGATCGTTATGCCAAAGTTATACCCAAACTCCGTCCTGTTTACCAAGTGGGGCGATGGCCTGACAGAACAAGAGCAGCTGGAAGCCGAAGGTCTGTTTCAGATATATGGATACCGTGGCTTCCTGAGTAACCAGCTGCCACTTGGAAGGAAGCATCCAGATACCATAACAGAGATAACAGGTACATTTTATTAATGAGATCCGTGATGTTTACAGGGTTTTTTATTTTGTTGCTGTAACTGTCAGTGTTGTCGTCCTTTGTCTTAGAAGTGCAAAGGTTTTCCTCACAGTACATACCAGCTCACAGATGTCTGGCACAGAAATATCCCAAAGACCTGCCGAGCATCAGTGTGATAAATGAAGTTCTGTCATTAGTATTTCTTTGCAACTAAAACTCTGTGCAAACAGTCTTGGTATCAAAATAAAGCCAACGCTTCAACAGAGGT